TATTATTATTATTATTATTATTATTATTATTATTATTATTATTATTATTATTATTATTGTCATGATGGTTATTATTAATATATTGTAGCCAGTCACAGCAGGGAAGCTCTATACCATCAACATATAACAGGACAGGAGATGAGGAAGAGTTCGGGGAGGACACAGAGACAGAAAAAGACCAGGATGAGGGAGAACAGATGGGTGAGGGAAAACAGCAGGGTGAGGGAAAACAGGGAGATGAGCCAGATGAAAGAAAAAGGAAGATGAGCTTTAGTCTGTTCTGTTGGTGATGTGACTTTTTTCCATTGAAAACTCACGTTTAGAGAATGTTACAAAAAAAAAGTCAAATTTCATTCAACATGTGTGTATTTTTTTTATAATTAAGTGTTACACGTGCGCTAAAAAGTGCCCTCCCCCCCTCCTGAGCACCTGCCCCCCAAAATGTCTGTGCACGCCTCTGATCATCTGTTTATTTAAAGCGGTGGGTTTTGAGAGGTTAATTTATCTAAAGTAATACTTGAGTCAGATATTACATATACTATTAAACTTTAAAATGTAAAAATGCTGGTGAAGATTCTCAGTCATCCAGGACATAGTCATTGCAAAAAAACAAAATAACAATCCACTGGACTTTGTTTTTCAAGTTTGAAGATGTTTCGCTTTCCATCCAGGAAACTTTTTCAATTCAAAATGTCAGAAAAAGCGTTGAGTTCCATGTTTTTTAGAGTGGACCAAAAACAAAGCCTTGTCTTGAGTTGCGATGATGATTCCTTCCCGCTGTCATCGCATTCACAGGAAAAAATCGAAATCGACATAAGTCTTTTTTTTTTTTTTAAATAAGGGCATTTTTTCTTGAATTTAGGAGGTAAGTGAGACACTTTGCCAATGGAACAAGACAATTTACATTTAAAATAAGAAAGAACAAATTTATTGTCTTATTTCAAGTGCATATTATCTAATTATCTTATTTTAAGAGTAAATATCCTCATCTCATTGGCAATTAATAATTTTTTACCTACCGGTACTCAAATTAAGGGTAAATACACTTAATTTAAGACATTTTGACTTATTTCTAGATCGTTTTTCCAGTGTTGTTTTTGGATTGTTTTTTTAACTTTTTATTTAAATGTACAATTAAATAGTTAAATTTCCCAATAGGTTATTAAAATACATTTTAAAATGGTAAATTTAACAATTTCATTTAAGAATACATGGTTTGAAAACAGGAATGATTTTATTTTGTATTAATGATTAAATATAGATTGAAGCCATTGGCGTCTCCAGCCTGTTGCATCGTTATTTTTAGGGTCAAAGGGTGAAGGAACCCCTGATATAAACCATGTAGTTGTTGCTCTGGCTGATGTTCAGGGTTTATGTCTTATATTTCATATTTTATCCTGTTAAAAGGGTCTATTTGGACCCGTCTGACTACAGAACCTTCTTCTAAACAGTTATGGCCCCTGCATAGATGAAGTCAGGTTGTTGTTCTCGTCGCTCCACTGTAAAGGGCAGATATGTGAAGAGCATGACTAGGTGTCCCGTCAACAGGTTCTCCCGTCATCCCCCATGGGACTGCTGGCTTCCTAATGCTCTTTATCCTGTCAGTTCGAGGACCCAGCCATATCTTTGTAGTTTACCAGTTATGCCATGCTCTTTCTAAATGTAGATCATTAATAAAACTGCACTTGTTGAGATGTGGAAGCTTAGTTTATCACTTGAAAGCCTCACCCAGCTTTAAATTTCTCCACAGCTTTCATCCTGACCCATCTGGCTGTCATCATGTTGGTTGTTCCCTCATGTTCTTTATTAAACCTCTTAGTCCAGAAACACAACAACTGAATTTTACTGAATAAGGCTATAAACAGATGGACTCTACTAACTAGTTAGGTGACTTCTGATTAAAAGATAATTGGTTGTGCTGTATTTGATTTAGTGTTGGTAAAGAAGTTAGAATTCAGATTTCCTTTATTTAGTTTTGAAGACAAATAATTTTCCTTCCACTTCCTTAATGTTCTACTTTGTTTGCTGTTTCATATCAAATCCCAAGAAAAAAAACGTACATTTATTCATGATGCAAAATAAAGATAAATGTATCAATTGTACAGTGTGCTTTTATGACATCCTTGGAAAATAATAATTTGGTTTCAGAAAAAAACGTTTTCAGGTCTTAGAAATAAAGTTGTTAGTTCTTAGGTCTCACACTGGAAAAAATAGAAATATAAATTAGTCATTTTTTCTTAAAATAAGTGCATTTATTGCCAATTGCCATACCGCTACACTTGTGAAAGTAAAATCTGTTGGGCTCCTTTTGGCATCAAGACAATTATTCTTATTGCCACCTTGCCAGACAGGACACTGTAAAAAAATAAAAATAAAAAAAATAAGTGCATTTATTCTTAGATTGAGGAGGTAAAAGATACATTTTGCCAATGGAACAAGACAATTTACATTAAAATAAG